TTCTCCATCCTATGCATCCTAAATCTTGCCTCATCGCCACATAATTGCCTTTCCCCCAGCTATAACTCTTGCCCTGCTTTATATACCGATCCCTTTCCATCACTAAAGTAAACGTAACCGAATTGTGCTCACTATCACCAAAGTGCTCTCCTACCTCCAAATCTAACACCTGGCCTGGTTCATTACCCAGTACCAAATCCAATGTGGCCTCGCCTCTTGTTGGCCTATCTACATACTGTGTCAGGAAACCCTCCTGCACGCATTGGACAAAAACTGACCCATCTGAAGTACTCGAACTATAGCGTTTCCAGTCAATATTTGGAAAGTTAAAGTCCCCTATAACAACTACCCTGTTACTTTCGCTCCTATCCAGAATCATCTTTGCAATCTTTTCCTCCACATCTCTGGAACTTTTCGGAGGCCTATAGAAAACTCCCAACAGGGTGACCTCTCCTTTCCTGGTTCTAACCTCAGCCCATACTACCTCAGGAGACGAGTCTGTACTTTAGTACAGACAGGTAAAGTAATTTAGTCAAACGGGAATAAACAAAGAATCCAAGGATTGAGTTATATTGCCATTCCTTCACTGTCACTGGGTGAAGATCCAGAAATTTCTATCCAAACTCTGTAGCTGTACCTACTCTAAATGGACTGCTACAGTTCAAGGAGGATGCTCACCACCATTTTCCCCAGGGTATTAGGGGTGGCCATTAAGTGCAGGCCTGGCCAGCGATGCTCACGTCCATTTTGTGGTGAAGGGGATAAGGGCATGGGACTCAGAGGGGTTTCTGAAAGTAAACGCAAGCCCATGACGTTCAGTGCGGAAACACTGACAAGCCAAAAAAATTCTTCTTTTTTTAATATGTCTGCACGTTATTGAACATTATTTGCATCTGCAGCTTATCTCCTTGGTGGATGTTGAAAATGGGGGATGGAGACAAGGAAGCAAGAAAACTTGAAGGTGGAATCCTGGGAGGAGGTTTTGCACAGAACAGGGTGGTACAGAAGGAGGCCCTTTGTGCCATCGAGTCTATGCTGGCTCTTTCAAAGATCAATCGATTTAATCCCACTCCCCTGCCAATCAATTGCAGTTCTTTCACCTCCGAGTAGCTATCCAGTTTTAAACCTTTTTATCAAATGAATTCAACACCCTGCTAGACAGAGCAGTTCACCATTTGAGGCAGGAGGATTTTACTTGTGTCACCTCTGTATCCTTTCACCAGTTAGGATGCGAAGGGAAAAACTGCATGGTTTCACCCAACGTCTTCTTGGCTGATCAAAAATTTCTAGCAGAAATTTGATAGGCACTTGAAAGAATTAAACTTGCAGGACCACAGGGGTAGAGCGAGAAATATGGCTGACCAGAGCATTCTGAGGAGTGTCAGAATATATTCAATGGACTGAATGGTGTCCTGCTGCCTCAAAATGATTGAAGGATGAGAAGAGAGAGGAGAAACAGGCCGTCAGTTTCTGAATACAGGATCATGTGCATTTCATATTGAAGGTGGTTTTGTAAATGTACCAGAATTGATTAGTACTCAATGATTCGTGATGCTTGGACTGGATATTGCGGGTTATCACAAATGGCAAACATTCTTTACTGATTCTCTTGTGTAGAAAATTTCATGCAAGTGCCACGGCCCCTAATATATCAGGCAACTAGACCCTATTCTTAAAGAGATGTTTAGATTGTTAGACCTGAGTCAGAAACATCAATCTATAGTCACAATTCCAGTACAAAGTATTATTTCCAGGCATTTTACCAAAATGGGATCTGTTTTCAGGGTCTCTATGCATTATACGGTGTTCTGTATGCATTATCATTAGTTATCAGCGTGCTAATTGGAAACATGATAGATGAAATCTGGAATAGGATAAAGAATACTAGGCCTTCATTCTAATGGTTCGTCATTATTTGTGGAACCTTTTACACAAATAAGAATTTCCTCCATCAGTCCATCCTCTGCTCTGTTGACAAAAAGTATTGTTGGAAATCAGCCTATCTACTGGAGTTTCCAGTTTTTATTGTACAAACTGGTTCTGTTGCTAGAAATAATGTAAGTTGTGAGCTTTGTTACTTCGTGTGATTCTACAAATACATTAAGAGGAAGAGGGCAACTAGAAAGGGAGTTGGGCCCCTTAAAGTCATCTTTGTGTTGAACCTCAGGAGATGGGAGAGATATTAAATGAATATTTCACATCAGTTTTAATTGTGGAGAAAGAAATGCCGGCTAGAATACTCAGGGAAATAAATATTAATGTTTTGAAAACTGTCCACATTACAGAAGAGGAAGTGCTGGAGGTCTTAGGAAATATAAAGGTAGACAAATCGCCAGGACCTGATCTGTTGTATCCCAGGACATTGTGGGAACTTAGGGAAGAAATTACGGAACCACTTGCAGAAATATTTGTGTTATCTATAACAATGGGTGAGGTGCCGGAGGAGTGGAGAGTGGCTAATGTTATGCCTTTGTTTAAGAAAGGTTGTAGGGAGTATCCTGGAAAGTATAGACTTGTGAGTCTGACTTCGGTGGTGGTTGGAGTTGACACTGCAAGATAGGATTTATATGCATTTGGAGAGGCAAGGAATGATTAGGGATAGTCAGCATGGTTTTGTGCGAGGGAAATCATCTCTCGCAAACCTGATTGAGTTTTTTGAACCAGTAACCAAGAAGATTAATGAGAGCAGATGATAGACTTTGTTTACATGGACTTTGACAGAGTTCCACATGGTAGACTAGTTAGTAAAATTAGATCACATTGGGATTCGGGGTAAGCTTGCCAGTTGGGTGCAAAATTGTCTTAATGGCAGGAGACAGAGTATTGGTGGAGGGTTATGTTTTGGATTGGAGGCCTGTTACCAGGTATTCCGTAGGGATCGGTGCTGGGTCCACTTTTGTTTGTCATTTATATAAATGATTTGGATGACAATACAGAATGCATGGTTAGTAAGTTTGTGGATGACACCAAAAATTGGTGGACAGTGAAGAAGGATATCTAAGATTACAAAAAGATTGTGATCAAAGATCGTGATCAATTGGGTCAATGGGCTGAGGAGTGGTAGATGAACTTTAATTTGGATAAATGTGAGGTATTGCATTTTTGTATAACAAACAAGGGCAGGACTTATACAATTAAAAGTCGGGCCTTTCGTAGTGATGTCAAACAGATAGACGTAGGAAATCATGTACTTAATTCTTTGAAGTTTGCGTCACAGGTAGACAGGATGGTTAAGAAGGTGTTTAGCACGCTTGCTTTCACTGCTCAGACCTTTGAGTAGAGGAGTTGGAATGCCATGTTGAGGTTGTACAGAATGTTGGTGAGGCCCCTTCTGGAGTTCCGTGTCCAGTTCTGGTTACTTTGTAGGAAGGATATTGTTAAGCTAGAGAGGATTCAGTGAAGATTTACCAGTGTTACTGAGAATGGAAGGTTTGAGTTATAAGGAAAGGCTGGATAGGCTGGGACTTTGTTTCAATGGAGCATAGGAGATTGAGGCTTATAAAATCATGAGGGGTATAAATAAAAGGGCTTTTCCCTAGGGTTGGCGATTTCAAGACCAGGGAGCAAAAATTGTAAGGTGAGAGAAGAAAGATTTAAAAAAGACATGACGGACAACTTTTTTACACAGAGAGTGGTTCATGTGTGGAATGAACTTCCAGTCAAAGATGGTGTATGCAAGTAAATTACAACATAGAGTCATAGAGATATACAGCATGGAAACAGATCCTTTGGTCCAACACGTCCATGTCGACCCGATATCCTAAATAAATCTAGTCCATGCCAGCATTTGGCCTAAATCCCTCTTGACCCTTCCTACTCATATACCCATCTCGATGCCCTTTTAAATGTTGTAATTGTACCAGCTTCCACCACTTCCTCTGGCAGCTCATTCCATACACGCATCACCCTCTGCAAGAAAAGTTGCCCCTTAGGTCCCCTTTATATCTTTCCCCTCTCAGTTTAAACCTATGTCCTCGAGTTTTTGACTCCCCCACCCGATGGAAAAGACCTTGTTTATTTACACTACCCATGCCCCTCATGATTTTATAAACCTCTATAAGGTCACCCCTCAGCCTCCGATGCTCCAAAGAAAATAGCCCCAGCCTATTCAGCCTGTTCCTAGAGCTCAAACCCTCCAACCCTAGCAACATCCTTGTAAATCTTTTCTGAGCCCTTTCAAGTTTTACAATATCCTTCCTACAGCAAGCAGACCAGAATTGCACACGGTATTCCCATAGTGGCCTAATCAATGTCCTGTACAGCCACAACATGACCTCCCTACTCCTAAACTCAATGCACTGACCAATAAAGGCAAGCATACCAAGTGCCTTCTTCACTATCCTATCTACCTGCGACTCCACTTGCAAGGAACTATGAACCTGCACTCCAAGGTCTCTTTGTTCAGCGACACTCCCCAGGATCTTACCATTAAGTGTATAAGTTCTGCTCTGATTTGTCTTTCCAAAATGCAGCATCTCACATTTATCTAAATTAACATGTAAACATGTTTATCTAAACATAAAAGACATTTGGTTAAGTACATAAATAAGAAATGTTTGGGGGATCTGAGCTGAGTGCAGGCAGGTGGGACTGGTTTAATTTAGGATCATGTTCGGCATGGACTGAAGGGTCCGTTTCTGTGCTGTATGACTCCAAGACTGTACATGTAGAAAGTCATTTGGAAGTCAGATTACAGCTCTTGGTATTCTTAAATCTGTGGATGTGTATATCAAGATTTGGCCCAAGCATGCATTTAAAGTGAGACTTTGTTACAGTGTCTCACCAGGCTATCTAATTTGTTCTATTTAAAAGAGTAGGTAGGTGCACAAGGGAGAAGTTAACAGAAGATTTTGCTGTTAGGGGAAGATGACATGAGGGTGGGAGGAGGCTTGTGCAAAGCATAAGACCTGCATAGACCAATTGAATCGAATGGCCTGCTTCTGCACTGTAAAATTCTGTGCAACCTACAATATTCAATATTGCCTTGTTCTTCTTTTCAGTGCATTAAGACCTACAACTCTGATTGGCATCTCGTTCAGTACAAGTATGAAGACTACTCAGGAGATTTCAGGCAACTGCCAAAGTGAGTGAATTTATTTCTCACCACCACTTAGTCTATTTATTGAATTAAAACCCGGTAAGTTGGGAAAGCAGATTTCCACCTTCACAGACACATTTAAATGTCATCGGGCACAAGAAGTGTAATACTTTGCATGCCATCTAATTTCAGAGATTAGTTGTTTTTCAACCAGCCGCAGAACTTCAATTTCAACACAAAAACAGAAGTTGCTGGAAAAGCTCAGCAGGCCTGGCAGCGTCTGTGAAGAGAAATCAGAGTTAATGTTTCAGGTCGAGTGAACCTTCAGAAGGAAAGGTCACAGGTCCTGAAATGTTAACTCTGATTTCTCTTCACAGACCTGCTGGGCTTTTCCAGCAACTTCTGTTTTTGTTTCTGATTTACAGCATCCGCAGTTCTTTCGGTTCTCATTTACCTTCAACTGCAATCCTTCGAACTAATATCAGTGGGACTAATGTTTTGCTGTTTTATTTTTAATTCATTCATGCGATGTGGATGTTGCTGTATTAATTGTTCTGGAGAAGATGGTGGTGAGCTTTGTGAACCACAGCAATCCTTGGGATGTGGAACACTGTCAGTACTGTTGGAGAGGGAGCTCCAGGATTTTGACTCAGTGACAGTGAAGGAACGGTGATGTAGTTCCAAGTCAGGATGGTGTTTGGCTTGCAGGGGAATTGTAGATAGTGGTGATTCCGTGCATCTGCTGCCAATGCCTTCCTAGGTGGTAGAGGTTGCCTGATTGGAAAATGCCTTAGTGAGTTATTGCAATGCATCTGTGATGCTGCAGTTGTGCATTGGTGGGCAAGGGAGTGAATGTTGAAGATGGTGGGTGTGGTGCTTTGACCTGGATGTTGTCAGGCTTCTTGAATGTCGTTCGAGCTGCACTCGTCCAGCCAGTTGGAGAGTGTTCCATTACACCCACTTGACTCCCCAGAAGGGAAGGAATAAAAAAACAGTAAAACTGGTGAATGAGACATTCTGGTTTGCCTCATCTTATATCCGTCAAATGGAGGACCGGTGCTGCCAGCACTTTAATTTCCAAGAATTGCTGTCTTTTCCCCCTCTGTGTGCCTGATAGATGGGCATTGGGAGCATTCAGGAGGTGAGTTACTTGCCACAGTTTTCCTAGCCCCTGACCTCCTCTTGTAGCCACTGTATTTATATGGCTGGACCAGTTCAGTTTCTGATCAATGGTAACCCCGGAGGATGTTGGTAATAGGGGATTTAACGCTGGTAATGCCATTGAATGTCAAGAGGCAATGGTCAGATTCTCTCTTGTTGGAGTAGGTTATTGTCTGGAACTTGTGTGACGCGAATGTTACTTCCCACTGATCAGCCCAAGCCTGGATATTGTCCACGTCCTATACATTTGGACTCGGACTGCTTCAGTGTCTGAGGAGTGATGAATGGTGCTGAACATTGTGTAATAATCAGTGAACATTCCATTTCTGACCTTATGATGGAGGAAAGGTCGTTCATGAAACTGTTGTCTTTGGCAGTCACTCATTAATGAGTATGTTTGTCCACTTCAGGAGTTATGAGTCACTGGTCTTGGGTTCTGTCCTCCTTGTGTGGCTGACATGAAGAAAGCTGCCAAAAACACTTTGCTGCTCCTATTTCCAAGAACAAAACAACTGAGTCAGACTCCTCCAGCTGCGTGCCGGTCTGAAGGTAGGGACTTCCAGATCTCTTGACCCTATCCTGTCTCCACTTGCCGATCGCTTGTGAGAGGGGGTGTTGGTGTGTGTGTGTTAGTTGTCGACTGGAGAACTCCCTATTGCCACAGACTCTGTCCATCATCACAGGCGTTGCTAGAGCACAAATACCGTCCACCTGGATCACCGTTGAGGATTTATTTTGGATTGCAGTTTGTCTTGTTCCTCACCTCCAACCTTGCTGTTTTGGAGTACGCTGCCAGCAATTGAGAATTCTTTGACAGCATCGCTATTGGGTTCAACAGAACACTCAAGCCTCTTTGCCGTGGCTTGGTGGCAATCCATGGTGTTGATGAAGTCGTTGAAGATGGTTGAGCCAAGGGCACTACCCTGAGGAGCTCCTGCAGAGATGTCCTGGAGCTGAGATCACTGACCTCCGACAACCACAATCATCTTCCTATGTGCCAGCTATGAAAACAACCGACAGAGAGGTTTCCCCTGAAAACAAAACAAGTGCTGGAAATCGCAGCGGGTCAGGCAGCATCCATGGTGACAGAACAAGCTAATGTTTCGAATCTAGTTGGCCCTTCATCAGAACTTTCCCATGATTCCCATTAACTCCAGTTTCACTCGGGTTCCTTGATGCCACACTCTGTCAAGTGCAGCCTTGATGTCGAGGGCAGTCACTGCCATCTCACTTCTGGAGTTCAGCTCATTTGTCCATGTTTAGACGAAAGCTGTGTTGAAGTTTTGAGTTCAGTGGCCCTGGTGGACCTCAAGCATGGCATTTGTGAGCAGGTTATTGTTAAGGAAGCGCTGCATAAAGTTGATCACTTTAGTGATGATGGACAATAGACTGATGAGGTGGCAATTTGCCAAGTTGGATTTCTTCTTCTTTCTGTACGCAGGATGTAACTGGGTCATTTTCCACATTGCCAGGTTGATACCAGTGTTGTATCAGTCTGAAATAGCTTGGTTAGGGGCACAGCAAGTTCTGGAGCACAAGTCTCCAGTACTGTTGCTGGAATATTATCAGAGTCCATAGTCCTTGCAGTATCCAGTGTATTCAGCCATTGCTTGATATCCTGTGATGTGAATCAAATTGATTGAAGACTAGCATCTGCGATGCTGAGGATCTCAGAAGGAGGCTGAGATGAATTGTTCACTCAGCATTTCTCACTGAAGATGGATGAAAATGCTTCAGCCTTATCTTTTGCAATGACTGGCTAGGATCCCTCAACATGGAGGATGGCGATATTTGTGAAGCCTTCACCTCTGATGTCTAGTTTATTTGTCCACTACTATTTATGACTAGATATGGTAGGACTCGGTCGCTCAGTGGTTAGCACTGCTGCCTCACAGCACCAGGGACCCAGGTTTGATTCTAGCCTTGGGTAACTGTCTGTGTGGAGTTTGCGCATTCTCCCTGTGTCTGTGTGGGTTTCCTCTGGGTGCTCCGGTTTCCTCCCACAGTCCAAAGATGTGCAGGTTAGGTGGATTGGCCGTGTTAAATTGGGGATGTGCAAGCTAGGTAGGTGAGCCATGGGAAATGCAGCAATACAGGGGTGGGTCTGGGTGGGATGCTCTTTGGAGAGTTGGTGTGGACTTGATGGGCTGTGTGGTCAGCTTTCACAACGTAGGGATTCTATGATTGTAGAACTTAGATCTGATTTGTTGATTGTGGTTCACTTGGCACCATCTATTACCTGCTGCTATCACTGGTTGGCACACAAGAGCTTCTGTTTTGTCGCTTCACCATGGTGACAACTCACTTTAGGTATTTCTATGCTGCATGTTCTCCTGCAGTATTCCTCAGTGTGAGGTAAGAATGTTGTCTCCAAAAGCACTGTGTGCAGTCACTCCTACCGTCAATAAGAAATGAATCTGTGACCGGGAGACTGGGGATGATCTTCCCCGCTGCTGGTTCCCTCAGAACTTGGTGCAGACCCATTTTAGCAGCATTGTTCCTTCGGATACAGCCAGCTTTGTCAGTAATGGAGCTTCCCAGCCACTTCTGATGGTGGATTTTGAAAACGCAACCCAGGGTAGCTTCTGTGCCCTTGCTCCTCTTGGTACTTCACCCAAGTGATGTTTGAAATCGAGGAGTACTGAATCTTCAGCCAAGGGGCTACAGCATGTGGTAACCAGGAAGCGGTTTCCTTGTTCTTCTTTGGCCTGATGCTGTGAGACTTCACCGGTTTTGGAGTCAATATTGAGGACTCACAGGACAAATCCTTGCTGACTACATATTACTGTCCTATCACCTTTAGTGGATCTGTGCTGCCCGTGGAACAGGATTTATCCAGGGATGGTGATGGTGGTTTTAGGGATATTGTCTGGAAGCTGTTATTCTGTGAGTTTGACTATATCAGGCTGTTGCTTGACTAGTCTGTGAGACAGCTCTCTGAGTTTTGCTTTCAGTTGTTAGGAAGGAGGCATTTTCAGAATAGACTGGACTAGATTTTTAAAAATTCATTCACAGGAGGGCGTCGATGGTTAAGCCAGCATTCATTGCCCATCCCTAATTCCCAGAGGGCAGTTGAGAATCAATCACATTGGTCTGGAGTCACATGTAGACCAACACCAGGTAAGGATGGCAGTTTCCTTCCATAAAGGACATTAGTGAACCAGGTGGGTCAGGTCCTAAGTCGCTGCCAGGAGGTCCATCTGGTTTCGTTCCTTTTAGAGTTTGTAGCAGTTTGATACAACTACATGGCCAGCTGGGTATTTCAGAGTCGATCACAGGGCTGTGGATCTGAAGTCATCTGTAGGGCAGATGAAGTAAAGATGGCAGATTTCCTTCCATAAAGCATTAGGAAATCCCTTGTTAAATCTCTCCATGGCCCCCTGTCACTACTCATTTCCCTCTTTAAGGGGTCAACATTGACTCCATTAGGGAACCAAATGGGTCTTTACAACAGTCAGCAGTGGTATTCAGCCAGCTTTTTATTTCCCACTTTTATTCAATTCAGATTTCACTATCTGCTATGGTTGGATTGAACCCATGTCACCAGAACGTTAACCTCAGGTTCTGGATTAATGATCTGTGTTTTCTACATTATCACGGCACCACCTCCCCCATTACTGTCATCTCTGCTTCACCTCTGTGGCATTACCTCTAACCGTGTGTCAGTTCGTATACTATTGGATCCATGTCTTTATAATGTCTTGATTTGACTGCCTCACTGAGTTCCTGGCCGATCTCTCTCCTGCAACCTTCTATAAAGAAACTCATTCAAGACACGAGTGGTCGTATTCTAACAGGCACAAAGTCCAGTTCACTACCTCTACTCTCTGACCCTGCTTTGGCCGTTTGTTCAGCAAGACCATGATTTTAAAATTCTCATGCTTGTTTAAAAACTCCCCCTTCCTCCACCACCATCACCAGAACCATCACCAGCACCAAACTCACTGGCCTCAGCCTTCCCAATCACCATAAGCTCCCCTCTAGAGATGTCTCTGCTTCATTAATTTTTCATCACTGCACTTTTATGACTGTAACTTCAGCTGCCTGTACCCTGAGCTTTGGAATTCTGTTCTTTAATTTCTTAAAGTTGCTTATCTGCAACTTTACCTCTCATTTTCCTCCTTTCTGACTCAACTTGAAACCTACTTCTTTGAAGCTTATCTCCTTGTGTGGCTCTGTGTTATAATTTTGTTGGTGATTCTGATGTGAAGCATCTTGAGATGTTTTACTGAGATCAGGTTGCTGTATAAATGCAAGTTTTTGTTGTTAATTTGACATGTTGCTCTCGACACCAGTGACTGTTCTTTGGTGTGAAGACAACAGCAATTGGTTGTTCAGATATTTGCGAAGAACATAAGGGACATGATCAAAAAGATACCAAATCTGGTTTAACACCAACATTGAAATGTATGTGTTAACTGCCGCATTGACTTTCAGTTAAATCATTGCATTTGGCATGCAAAATGGTGCGCAGTGTAAAAACAGGCCGTATGCTCTGGTCTACACTTTATAAGAGCAAGAAGACATATTTTGTGCTATGTTACAACAACACTAATGTGTCGACTGGGTCTCTCTGCAGCTATTTAAGAGCTACTAGGCTGCACCTCAACATTGTGAAACCAGCCGCAAATCTGAGAAAACAAAATCCGAGCACGGAACTGAATTTATTTCGTTTTTTAATGATGCTTTGTGTGTAACAGCTTGGTATGCATTGGAGAAATTTAAAGTTTATAAATTATAGAACAGGAAGAGACCGCTACACCTAACAGATTCTATTAAATAAGAATTTAATTGTCCCAAAATTCCTGTTGTATGGAGGGGGGAAAGCAGAATTTTTGCTTCAGTATTGTTTTGCGTCAGCTATGGATCGTTGGCTGGTGCTCTGCCTATAAATCAGAAGGTTGGACATTCAAGACCAACTAAGGAGCTGAGCTCAACAAACTCAGCTGACAAATCAATGCAGTAGCTATGGGAGTGCTACGTTGTCAGATAAGATGCTAACTGAGCCCTCAGCTCCACCCCCAGGTTAAGGGAAAAGATCCTGTGATACTATTTTGCAGAGGGGTTCAATATTAATGCCTTATCCAACATCACAAAACAGAATTTCTTGTTAGTACCATGTTGTTGTTTGTGGGAGTTTGCTGTGCGCAAATAAGCTGCTGTGCTTTCTACATTGCAGCAATGACTATACTTTAAAAGTACTTCGTTTGGTGTAAAAGTGTCATTGGTCACCCTGGAGTCATGAAAGACACCATATAAATGCAAGTTTTTCTTTAAACCAAGTACTGCTTTGTTTTTTGTAAAAATCCAGTTTTGGATTTTTGAAGAAAGCTGTTGTTTTTATGACTGTCACTTTATTGTGCATATTGTTTATTTCCTAACAGCAAAGCACCAAGACCAGAAAAGCTTCCCGTTCATGTTTTTGAAGTTGATGAAGACGTTGACAAAGATGAGGTAGCCATTATTTATTTATTCTGATTTACTTGGGGAAGATCTGAACTGAATTGCAGTGGTTAGTACCTTCTTTACCATAATTCACGCTCATTTCAACTAATAACTCTGGACCCAAGTTATTTAGTTTTGCAGGCTCACAAATATGTGAGACAGAAAAGGTAAGTAGGAGCACAACTCCTTCAAATACACTTCAGAAGGTTTGGGGTTGGAGGGTGGACCTTATGGTATTGCCTGTTTAGACCTTTTCCCTCTCTATTTTCTGTCTCTCATTCAGAATGTGAGTTGCTAACAACACACAGAGGGCAGCAGGACATTGGGGATATCACTGGGTGTACCTCAGTCAACAGTCTGTCTCTTTTACCGATGGAATTTATGAATTGAGGAAAAGTGGGAATAATGGAGAAGGAGATTCAAATCAGGGTCAGAAAGAAAATAAAAGGAGGGAAAGAAAGCTTGGATTAAGAGAGTGAGAAAGGGAAAGAGAGGGAAAAACAATCAAAAGCATTTTAAATTTGCCATTAAAAAGACCTTGAACGTTCATCACTTCACAGGTGTGAGACTTTATAGTCGAAGATTTTTTTTAGCCTCTTGTTTATTCACCTCTGGAGCAGGTGGGACTTGAAGCTATGCCTCCAGACCCAGTGGTAGGGATACTACCACAACACCACAAAGGTCCTGAAGTCCTGAAGAAGGTTAATACCTGAAACTGAAATTGACTGCTCCTTTCCTCCAGACGCTGCCTGGTCTGCGGTGTTCTTCCAGCCTCCTGTTTGTCTACCACAAAGGAAATGTTCAGTTTCCTGAAGGATCTGATTGGCTTAGCGTTAACCATTTCATGTTGTTAAAAAGAAGCTTGTTTTTTTAATTATGTCTCCTACTTTTTCCACTGAATTTAATGGTCAGTTAGTGTGCAAATCCAGCAAGTTCTTCAAATAATGAGGGACCGGCGTTGGGGGGTGGGCGGGGGGGGGAGGGGCGGCGGGGGTGGTGGTGCGGTGGTTGGGCTTTGAAATCACTGGACTGTATTTTACTGAAATAATAAAGGCATGTTAACAATTCAGGTCATTGTGCAAGTCGATTAGCGAGTTCCAGAGATTCAGAGCTCTTGGTTGTTCCTTAATCTCCTGAATTTCTGTCCAATTTGCAGATTACCAATGCATGTGTCTTTAAGACTGACTTGTTGTTCCACAAGGCATTGTCATTAGACCTGATCTTTGATATGCAGAGTATCTGCAGCGTACAGTTTTACACATGAAAAGAGAGTCGATTATCTATCATTGTGAATTTCAAGGTGTCATAATGATGCAGCTTCAACTGAGGAGCAAAGCAAAAACAGTTGTGTTGAAGTAT